GATGGACCATCTGTCCGATATCGGCCGTTTAGTTTAATTTACTTCACTTTTTTTTATTGTTTACCGTTACTCTCATGTTTACCTTTTTAAATTTACATACTTTGTCTGCATCAATTTCCTGTTTTCTCAGGTTAAGCCCATATTCCTAGGCCACACGCGGGGTGAAGGAGGATTTTTAATTTTCGAGCACCCTAGATTAGTAATTATTTCTTCGAAAATAATTATTTTTAAATCTAAATAACTGCTAGAAACGAACGAAAAAAAAAAGACCTCTCTCTTAGTTGCCTCTCACCCACTCAGTTGATCACTTCACCTCTCTCCGCGCACAATCAAAATAAAGTCCGACCTTCTTCCTTGCATAATACATACGATATAATCAAATTCTGCAAACCATTTTTTTTAGATATTTTAAACTTTGGTTTTGTAAACATAAATTATTTTATATATTATATTTATATTTTTAGAAAATCGTTTGAAATTCTGGCTGCCTGCAGTTAAAGTAAAGTCCGAACATTTTAGGCTACATTTGTGGAAAATATAAGTACAATTTCATGAAGGAAAAACATCACACGTAAGGTAAAGGTAGCTTACTATCACTATTTTGGGTGTAAAATAGTGTGATCTACAATTTGTACATCAGGTATTGTGGGTTGACACAGTGGCTGAATAAGAGAGCCAGTATGCCATTTACAATTCCCAATAAATTTATCAAAACATGCAGATTATACATTCTTAAATGCAATTTTCAATAAATAAATAAATAAAGTTATTAGAGAAAATGTTGTTATTTTCACGATATGCAAGAATATTTTGTATAAATCTTTCATAATTCGAGAACTAGAGATGATCAGTAATTTCCAACAATATTATTATAACCATCAAAATTTTCTTTTTGTTGCCCAGTCAATTATTTTTTCACACCTTTAAGTCAGTAGATTCAATCATATGTTTATAGGATATTAAAAGTATGAGCATCATAATTTAAGTACAACTTAAGTAAAATGTAAGTTTTTCACACAAATGATTAAATGAGGATCAGTATGAAAAATGATCTAAAAGGTTTATTTGCAGAAAATGTTTCTAACTTTAATTATTTCTCCACGTAATACGTTCTGTATGTTCATACCGAGGAAGTTATGGATATAACCCTATTGTTGTTGTTTTGAAGTGAAGCACAAAGCAACAGAATGGGCTACATGTGCTCTGTCTACAACGGGTATCGAAACCTGGATTTTAGCGTCGTGGCACAGTGGTATGTCTGCGGACTTACAACACTAGATACCGAGTTTCGATTACCGTGGAGGGCAGAGTACAGATAGCCCATTGTGTAGCTTTGTGCATAATTACAAACAAACAAATTGGGGGGCATATAACCCTATTGAAAAGATCCGAGTATTTCAGAAAATAGGAACATTGTCTTCAAAAACTCTGATACGGTTCTTGTTTCAAATATCATGGTAAAAGAAATATTTTACATAGTTTATTGGAAAAAATAAACAGCTTAGTCTACTTTACTGTCAATTCCTAGCTTCTTTTTCCAACTTACCAAAATTGTTTCTCTTGTGTTTTAAAAAACAAGCGCTTTTTATAGCAATTGTATGAAAAATATGAATTATACTTTTATAATAAAAAAAACGTACTACCTCCAGTAAGGACAGAAACTTATTACATATTAATTTTATGGGTTTAAACACCAAAGGTTGACGAAATTTAGAAAATTGATAAGACAAACACTCGTGATAAATATTGCATAAGACTGCAAATGTTTTTCTCTACGTTCCTCTTAATTTGTTCATTTCAACTCACAGTTGTGTTAAAATAACACAGAATTACAGTCTTACGTTATTTTTGTCATAAATATTTGGTCTTTTGAACTGGGTGATTATGTATTAAATTTCCCATTTAAAATGTTTGTATGAGAAACTAAATAAAGCCAATGCAAGCATCATCCGTTCCAAACAGTTTTAATTGATTCTCACAATCTAATTTCTAGTGGCCGTTCTGAGATCTTCCAAATTTCATGGACTGTTCTGGTAGATATTTCCCTTGAGAAACCTCCAGAGCCAGAAATCTGCTAGTGAACCTCGCCTGCCATTTCTGTCTGAAATTATCAGTAAAAGTGCCTGATAGAAATGTTTTAACTGGACAACAGATATGGGAGTCGTCTCATTTTATTAGAAGGTTTGTTTATTTGTTTGTTTTGAAATTCTCATAAAGCTACTCGAGGACTATCAGCGCTAGCCGTCCATAATTTAACTGTAATATATTAAAGAGAAGGCAGCTAGTCAACATCACCCATCACAAACTCTTCACCTATTCTTTTACCAACAAATAGTGGGATTTACCGTCACATAATAACGACTCCACGGCTGAAAGGTCGAGCATGTTCGATGACGGGAATTCCAACTCGCGAACAACAAATTGTGAGCCGAGCGCCCTAAACATTAGACATGTTAGAAAATGGTGTTACAAGTATCACGTAATGTATTAAAATTTTGGATAGCCTAAAACTGAATTAAATTTTAATTTAGCTTTAGTAGTTAAATAAATGCCGATGTATATCCAATTTATGATATCTGCCAACAAGATTGATACACACAGTTTCTTTTTATTAATACATATATGTTTTAATATACAAACAGTAATACAATTTACAATAACAGTTATTAGAAACAATGATTTATATACAAAAGATTTACAAGTAATATCGAGTCTTCTTTCTGGTCTGGAACTTCCTTGATGTCTTATCGAAGATTCACGATGAGTGAATTAATTTTGAGTTGACGTAAGTACAATTTACTTTACAGGAAACTAGCTCTGTAAGCCTTGCTGATCACACGCCGATTACAGATCGAGGTTTCCACCACAGAAGTTATATAATGTCTTCGTAAAAGTACTAATGTCCGATGTCAATCCACTGAAGTTAAATGGTTTGTAATGTTCGAAAGTTCCCGATTAATAAGCGCTAATCACAATTAAAGCACACCAACTATAGCAAACCAATAATATATGTACTGTCTTTTGGCGCGTCGCGTTGGTTATGTTTATAGGCGTGAAGAGAGTTTCTCGAACTTTCAGCTTACGCAACAATATAAATGACACACCAGTGTTTACGTGCACACACATATTGTTGATTCTTACACTCGATAATTTTCTACAGTTTTAGTGAATAGGCGGGAATTTTGCAATATAGATTCAATAGTATAAGTTATATACAGTTCTAAATATAAATTTAACTTAAACAAACATCGATATTAAAATCGATATATAATAGTAAATCCGTCATATAAACACCTCTATCCCATAGGTTTGAAATAGCGTTCTCTAGTTACCGAAGCAAACTGGGTACTCTCAGTATCATTAAAAGAAGTGGGAATTGATGTTAAAAGTGATAGGAAAGCCACTCCATACAATAGCATAAAGGTAATGAATCGACTCAGTAAGCTGGACATAGACATAAAATTTCCAGACTGACGTATCTTAAAGTATCTTTTCAAAATTATTTTATTATACTCCTTTCATGGGTCATCGATCTCTCCAAAACCAAATGTGTAAGGTCAAGTTACAAAGGTAATCACCATCTTTAACGGCTTGCACAGTTCTAAAGTGATAAGCTCTGACGTGGGGGCGTTATAATGTTGCAGTCAATCACACTGTTTGTCGGTAAAAGAGTAGCCCAAGAGTTGGCGGTGGGTGGAGATGTCTAGCTGCCTTCTCTCTAATCTTTTACTAGTAAATTAGGGACGGCTAGTGCAGATAGCCCTCCTGTAGCTTTGCGCGAAATTCTAGACAAACTAAAAAAAAAAAAAGCTCTGACTCTAATATGTTTTTATTTTATTCTTTAAGCTGTTATTTTTGGAAGATCAGGTTTTTGACAGCGCTACTTTTACTTGCCATTCTAAATGGATGTTTCTCAGTTTGTTCTAGTGTGTTCTGAGTAGCCTCCGCTACTGTTTCTCAGGGTAAAATGATCGCCTAGAGTCAGAATATTTTGTAGCATTGTTTGAAATTGTTATTTTAATCAAAGTGAAGCAACAAATTGTAAAAAGAAAGGAATAAGATAAATAAATACAACTCTAGTGTGTAAAATCATATAGTTTTCAAGTATTTTATTATGACTGAACATTTCTGAATGAAACTTATGCTTATAAATGTCTCTTTCGTGAAATTTTGTTTCCTGTAGACTAATACATTTTTAATGTGTAATAATTATAAACACACAGGATTTTCTTTATAATTATCCTATCAATTAAGATGTGGTACTACGACAGAATAACTGTTTCCCTAGAAATATGTTATACGTTTTAAATGTATCAACTTTTATTGCAGAGATTAATGCAGACTTAAATGTTGAAGAACACATTGCTTTGAGACCATCTTCATCTGAAAGTGTTTAAAATATCATTAATACTAGATCTCTAAAGATGTATTTTTGTTGCTCAATTAGCTTCTGAAAACGTTTATATAGTTTCAGTAACTAATGGCCTGGTATAGCCAGGTGGTTAGAGCGCTCGACTCGCAATGTGAGGATCGCGGGTTCAAATCCCCGTCCCACCAAACATGCTTGCCCTTTCAGCCGTGGGAGCGTTATAATGTGACGGTCAACCCGGCTATTCGTTGGTAAAAGAGTAGCACAAGATTTGGTGGTGATGACTAGCTGCCTTCTTTCTAGTTTTATACTGCTAAATTAGGGACGACTAGCGCAGATAGCCATAGTGTAGGTTTGCGCGGCATAAAAAAAACAACAAACAAAGAGTAATTAATGGTACACTAGTGGGTGAATAATATGTATTAATTAAGGTCACGACGAACGCATAAATAATTTCTTTATCATTTAACTACAGTCAGTGTCAGAAACTTCGCAATTTCTGAGTTTATTTTCGGTTTTAAATTCTTCACGATATATGTAAAATATTTTGTAAATTAACACAGCATATACTGATATCTAAAATCTAAGAGGTGTTAAATCATCAGCAGGAGATGGCTTTAGTAAGTATTTTTCGTATTGGCACGTTCACTGTTGGTGCAGTAACTTAAGTTACTGAAGTAAAAACATCTAAACAACTTTTTTCTATTTTAGTTTCTGAAGAGTTCAATAATCGATAATTTCTAAGCGAGAACGTGTAGATAAAATGTATACAAGTTAATTTTATTAGTTAGTAGTATCAAGAAGTTCTTTGTACGAAAAGAAATACTCAATTTTTTAATAAATTTTATAGCTAGAAGATTACGTTTACATTAAATTCACCGAGTAGTTTTAGAACTCTAGAATTAAGAACATTTAAAAAAATAAATTTATGGTTAAAGCAGCTCACAAGGGCAAGTGTCAGACATCATAAATACTACTTCTTTCTCGGTGACATTACCTTTAGTTTATATAACCCCTTATATAACTCCTTGGAACAAGTTTTTATTTATATACAGTGTATAAAAACCCGACTTTCTAAATAAAACCAATATCAGTCATGTTTACTAAACCATGTCATGACCATGGTGTGTTTCCATACTTATAAGTTTAGCGAACTACCAAAGTTCATATAAATGTTTTTACTTACAAATGATAAAAATACATTGATTGTGACTATTGTGAGGTGTGTCTACTGTTGAATTCCAGTCTATATTGTTTAAAGTTTAAAAACTAACCCTTGTTTCAGAATTATCATGTATATATATATATATATATATTGTGACATACTATTATATACAGAAAACTGTTTTGATTACAAGTGAATATATCTTTTTTTCTTTTCAGGCGTCCAATCTTTGGCTTGAACATTTTTTCTATCATGAATAGCAAGAAGAATACAAAAATATATATTTCGATCATAGTTCTCCCATAGTTATTGTTGGTGTTTTATAATTTAGAAGCACTAATATGTTTTATTCGTATTTTTAAATATTAATTATTTTATGTTAGCAGCAACATCAATATTCTGCAGTCTGCTTTCTTAGAATATTTTCTCTTCTCCATCTCAATTCGGCTGATTAGCGAGAAATCTATGTTTATTTGATTAATGCAATTAAACCAATATTGCATTCTTTATCAACAGTATGAATTACAATTTTAATATAGCTACTACTATGTCGACAGTTTTAAACATTACACATGAAACTAATATATCAAATGAAACAGCCCCGTCTATTTACATACCAAACCCTTCGGAAATCCAGTCTTTGCTCAACATTACTCGAGATGTCCCCTTTAAATACGCGATGCCCTTGTTTGGTTATATTATGCCATTCTTACTTTTGGTAACAATTGTAGCCAACACACTTATTGTGGTAGTTTTGGCACAACGGCATATGCGCACCCCAACTAACTTGGTCCTTCTGGCTATGGCAATTTCAGATTTATTAACACTGTTGTTCCCGGCACCATGGTATTTTTACATGTACACTCTTGGTAACTATAGCAAGGTACTCTTTCCAATCCCTGCTTGCTATTCTTATCATTACATGTATGAAGTGATCCCTGCATTTTTCCACACCGCTTCTATTTGGCTCACATTGGTCCTTGCTGTTCAACGTTACATTTACGTTTGTCACCCGACAGTTGCCAGCACGTGGTGCACTGTTCCACGTGTTATTAGGGGTATGTTGTTAGTTTACCTCGTCGCGTTCTTCCACCAGTCTACCAGGATTTTTGACCGCGTCTTTCAGCCAGTACAGTACAAATGGAATAACTCAGTTCATTCTGGTTGTATGTATCACACAGCAAATTGGGTGAGAAATGTTATTAATGAAAATATCTATTTTACTTACTACTATGTTTTCCGTATACTATTCGTCCATATTGGTCCTTGTACTGCTTTAGTTGTGCTGAATGTACTGCTTTTTAGAGCTCTCAAGGAAGCTCAACGGAAACGAAACATGCTATTCAATGAAAACCGCAAGAGCGAGTGTAAGAAACTGCGAGACAGTAATTGTACCACACTCATGCTGATCGTTGTTGTGACAGTATTCCTTGCTGTGGAAATCCCCTTGGCGGTCACCACCCTGCTCCACGTCATGCAGAATGCTCTTGAACTCCAGGTCGCTGACTACAATGATTTGAATGCCACCATTTTGTTCACAAATTTCTTTATTATGCTCAGTTACCCTTTTAATTTTGCAATTTATTGCGGTATGAGTCGACAGTTTAGAGAGACTTTTAAGGACTTGTTCATGATGGGTAGTCTTGTTAGCAGACGTGAAGGCTCTTCCAGATACAGTCTCGTTAATGGACCACAGAGAACGTCAGCTCATGAAACTGTTTTATAAACAAAATCAACTCCTTCTAGATTTGGCAAAACATAAATAAATATTAATAAGTAACAAATGATTTTTTTAAAAGTGACTTGATAGAATTATAGTGAAAAGATTGAATGACTACAAAAAACAAAGCGCTTATTTGAAAGTTTTTTTTAGAAAACCGCAACAAGAAACAAAGTTCCACAAACGATTATTCTTTCAAAACGATCTAATGTACAAGCGTTAGTGGTTTAAAATAGATTAAGACATTATTCAAATATAAACCTTGAAGCTTCAAATTTCTTGACACATAAATATGGGTTACATTGTCATTCGGTGTGTTATATGTTGTATGTATTGATATTATTCAGAAATGTATCGTTTTAATAAATGTTCTTCGCTGTTACTCTCGCGATAGGTGATGAACTTATACTAATAATATGGGGCTCATTAGTGTAAGTTCACCTACCCACGAGGAAAACTAGGAATAACTCAGTGTAGTGGTTAGATTACATTCATTTTTTATTAATTATACATAATTTATGAATTGAATATTCTCAATTAATAAAATTTTGACGAAACGCCAATTGATGTCGTTTTCGAAATTGCCAACAATTTCTGTTGATTTTTTTATTATGCTTGTAAACTTTGAAGTGATTTTTGGTTTAATAAATATGTTATTTGTTCACTGTCTGGTTGTTCATGATTTAAAGACAGAAAAAGGAACATTAGAGGTTGTTTTGACAAAAGTAGAACTTATCCATGGTTAAGCTTGGATGTTTTAAAGATAATGACGACATTTTTCGAAGTTGTGGTTGAACGGTTATTTTAAGCTTGAATAACTATATCGGAAGACGCAAGCCAATGCATAATAATACTGTTCCTGTATCTTCTTAGTTTGTGTATTTCTTGGTTCTTTTTTGGCCTTCTGGCAGTGTTTTCCAGATATTATATAACTTTTCTTGCAATTCGATGAACCTTATTGATAAGCAGTCAAAATATATTCAAATTACTAATTGTTTCTTTAACATAGTACACAAAAATGTCTGTTTTTGGATTTAAAAAAAATCAAAGAAACCGAAATAGAGGTATAAAATTTTGTTTACGCATGTGTTCATGTGACCTAAATATTACAAAATTCACAATCTCAGCATAACTGGCTTTTAAAATTAGGAGTTGTGTCCTATCTTGTCTACAGCTCGAGAATTCAAGATAAGTACTCGAGCTAATAATGAGAATATCCATAGAGCATTCAAATTTCTAGCCATTAATTTCATAGAACCTGAGAATCTGAGCTTGATAACAGAGAAGCAATGATTTTTTTCTCATGAAAATAGAAACTGTGAGGGGCATAATACATGACAGCTAAAAATGCGTTATTTTCAAGTGCAAGAGATGAGAAATAAAAGTGTAGGCATTAAAGTATATATAACAAGTTTAAACGTTTCCGTCGAAATATTTATCATAGTGGCAACTTCCTTATTTCTATTATGTATTAGCACAGTAACTTCAGGTAATATATTTGTATTACTTTGTATGTTTACTTCGTGCGTTAAGGAAGTTTATTTTACTGCTAAAGTCCCCCAGTTGTTCTGTAGTAAGTCTGAGGGTTTACAACGCTACAAATCTGGTTTAGATACCCGTGGTGAATACAGTACAGATAGTGTATTGTGTAGTTTGTTCTTAACAACAAACAAACTCACTGATAATATTAGAAATAAAGAAGGCCTCTCCATTACAAATGTAAGATTTTAACCAAATTAAAAAGTCGTTATTAAATCATGCTACACAATTCTCAACTTTAACTGCCTGAAATTATAAGTGACTTGACTTAGTGATTTAGTTTTTGTTTTACCTTTTCACACTCTGTATTAAAACTCTCTGTTAAATACTAAACTGTAGTATTTAGTTAGCGATGGTGTTTCCGTTTATCTATTTCCATTTGTCTAGAACATAAGACTCTTTTAGGTTTAATATAAGTTAGAAACACTTTTATGGTAACATTACATAATTATGAAGCTTAAAGGCTTGACCACGCGTAATAAAACTGTTCATTCACTGCCACGATATGATTTCATGGACCAAAGAACTTAAAACCTTTTATAAGTGAGTAAGAAACACCTAATAATTTAATATCTCTAATGCTACTCACTCTTTACGGCAACATCAATTAACAACAAACATAAATAATTTTGAGATGATTAGGTCGTAAAATGGTAACTATGTCAGTATTTTTTTTTTGCAGTTACTTATATGAAAAAGATGTATCGTATAATTTATTAATTTACTTCCTTAATAATGGCATCAATATTCCTTTAGCAATGACATATTTCGACAATAGTTTATAAAATAACAATTCTTGTATTATTTACTAAAAATTGTGGAAATTCTTGGCTTACAAAAACATACTGGCCGAACCCTAATTAGGTAGGACTAAGATCGAAATGTGGGAAGAAAAAAAATAAATTAAGTAATTTGTAAAATACTATATACAGGACATTAATTTTCCATTATCTAACTTCTACACCATCTAGTGTAATAATCAATTCGTAAATCACAATATATGAAACAGTTATTAATTTTAAACTAAGATCTTTCCTTCCACAAGCAAAGGTTATTTCTCAAAATGTTTATGTTTAACTATTGAAAAATAAACGAACACGGTTTTTGAGAACTAATTTCAAAACATGGTTGAATTAACATTCATTCGAGTAATTAATGAATCCAAACTGAAACTGATTAACACAATCAATTCAGTTTTTGATCAGTTTATCAACTTATTTCAGCTATCAATTCTATCATTTGGTGCTTCTTTTACGAAGTAATTAAAAGGAGTAGTAAGTAACGACCTTTTTAATACTTCTCTGTTGTTGATTATAACTTTAAAGGTATTAGGGATGTCAGACATGTAAGTATTAGTATTACACGTTAAAATTATCACATCATAAAGGAATTTTTATTTAATACATTTTAAAACCGTTCGAAGCATTTTTATGTTGTCCATTGGCGGATGAAAAAATATCATCAGAACATTTGGAAATAAAACTAAAACTTCTTTACAAGAAATGTTTGCAAGAGAGTTGTTTCATGTAATATAGAATATTAATATACTCAAAACATATTCGCATATAAATTCCATTATATATTTAGTGCATCGTCTTTTTTTTTACACTCACTTACTTCATCTAAGAACTTTGAAGTTGATTTTAAGTCGTTAGAATAAATCATGTTGTAAGCTAGTGCAGTTAAAAAGTGTAAGTATAAGTCATGAAAGCAAATATAAATTCAGCATTAAAAAGGAATTTAGAATTTTTAACCCTTAAAGGCATCTTATTGGCATATGGGCTAATTGGCCAGGCCAGAAATTCCTAGAGTTGATACACAACTACCCATAATTTTAAATTATTGATCACAGAGTAGGAAGCTAATCAGCAGCACACAACGCCGTAGAGACTTTGTTCGGCCCTTTGATCCGAATAACGAGACTGACTGTCATTTTTTAAAGCGATAACAGCTAGAAACCCCAGGGTCCTCAATCCTCAGCACGATGTGCTCAGGCCATAGGAATATTGTATTATCTGTTACATTTAATTTGCTACTAGATATTTGTATGATGTATTCGATCTCTCTCTGTTTGAATATAGAATATAATTTAAAGTTTTTTGTTGAAGAATTTCGAGCAAAGATATACAGTGACTACATACGCATAGTTGTCCTTAACTTTGAATTAACATATTAAAATAAAATCGGCTAGTCCTACAATACTAACTGCCAGTTCATGGGTTATCCTTGTTTGACCGTACATCACTCCCACAGCCACAACTGCGGAGTGTATTTCTGCAGGAACGGAATAATAATTACGAACCCTCGGATTCACAATCAGGGCACCTTAGTCACTTTGCCACGCCCTACTCACGTGAGAAAGGAACGTTAGAACATGAGTTATATCATTAAAGATGTCTACTAAACACGTGACTAGTGTATTCAACCTTCTTCTATTTGAAGATAGGTTTGTTTGTTTGTAGTTAAGCACAAAGTTACACAATGGGCTATCTGTGCTCTGCCCACTACGAATATCGGAACCCGGTTTCTAGTGCTGTAAATCTGCAGACATACTACTGTGCCACTGGGGCCATTTGAAGATGGAAAAAACGTTTAAAAGTCAAATGGTAATGAAACGAATTTAAACAATTTATTAACACTTATTCTGAGCAATGATCCTTAATGATAAGGTACGATTTATTCTTTTCAACTCAAGGATATTTCTAAAGTATGTGATTTTGTTATGCTTTGTTATCACTAAACAACAACAAAAAAATTGCTGCTAGAGAAAACTCAAGTAATTCAGGGTAATTTGATGGTGCTGATTTCAAACATTTGTCGGAATTTGACCACCATCTCTAGATTTTGAGTTATTGTAATATCCCAATGTTTAATCAGCAATATGTGAAATACCATGCAATCAACTCGGTACAATAGATTTATGCTGTGAAATTAAATTTATTCGGACAGTTTAATTGGTAAAAGGTATATATTTTTGATAAATTCTAATACTGTCTGTCTTGTATTGGTGTAAAATTCGAGATATGTTGCTCATCTATGCTATTTGGTCTCGATATAATGGTAGCGAATTGCACGGATTTTTCTTCATTCTCACGCTCACCTGCTACGTTCTGGAATCATGAAACCCTCACGCGCTTAGTTTGCTATAGCATTCGAGAAGTCCCTCGACTGAGCATAAAAGGAGCGAAGTCAGCCGTCTCTCTCTTAGTTGCCTCAACCCACTCAGTTGATCACTTCGCCTCTCTTCGCGCTCAGTCAAAATAAAGTCCGACCTTCTTCCTTGCATCATACATAAACTGCCTCATCTTATCACATAAGAAGAGCTAAATGATCTGATTTAGTGACTTGTTTTTATCAAAGCAGCATGGAGAGCTTCTGGGGCTCTCATTTACATCAATATAATTTATTAGCTCCAGAAACAAGCTTCAATTTATCCAACTCGCCATCAAAGTCTTGCTTCTCACTACAGCATACAAAATACTTTGTGTTTCTGTACAAATATTGATCCACTAATTGAAGAATTAGCTACTGAACATCATGCTCAAGAATGTACTTTTATCGACTCCTCTAAAGTTAGTCTGAAAGCGGTACTTTTGCACAATGGAAACACTAAGCCATCGATTTCAGTTACTCATGCTGTGAACATGAAATGAATTTATCAAAACATGCAAATTATACATTCTTAAATACAGTTTTTCATGAGTAAGTGAAGTTATTTAAAAAAACTTGTTATTTTTACGATATATATAAGAATATTTTGAATAAATCTATCATAACACGAGAACTAGAGGTGATCAGTAATTTTCAACATGGCTTTTATAATCAACATTGTCAGATTACTCAGAAGGAGTTGCATTTTTCCAAGTAGCAGATAAATTTGTTTTTTGTTGCCCAGTGTATTGGTTCAATAAGTAGTATATTTTAGTAAACAATTGAAATGTAATCAAGCAAGTCTATACTTTAAAGTCCATATATTAAAATTGTGGAAGAACGACTTATCTAATGAGATTAGAGCG